AACGTGCTCAACTTCAATAATACTCTGACTGCAAATCAATTACTCACTGTCTACACACACATTATTGTCCCGTCACGTTGTCACCCTCTTTTATATACCAGCTACCCTATATCTAGTAAATACTAGAGCATTCGCCAAGGTGCAGGATAGTTCTAGAAAATAGATGGCGCCACACCAGTCACGTGACCTCGATGACGCAACAGTATTATATCTACATAGATATCTATACACATTTTTGTCAGTAGGATTATTTTAGAATACGACATGCAGTTTTGTTTCCTATTTGTCGCACGTCATACGTTTTCTAATTCCAATGGTTTATATGACCAATAAAAGACACGACAATTGTGTAATATAATAAAATCAATCCACAGCGTCATTTGTACCTGTCACATTCCAAGACACTGGGTTATTCAGTCTCTTTCTTGACCTCGTTTCTAACCCATATTATTAGGGGTAGTATTTTGCGAGTGAAAGTTTTCACTTCAAATGTATGTACGGCCTTCTTTACTGGACATTTTCGTAGTGACTTGGATACTTACAGCCTTCCTAATATTAGTGTTAAGGCTTTAATTTATCATGGAGGAGGAGTACGCAGGCGATCATTAACTTCATCCAGTGGTAACACTTTGGACTTCCAATACTTTCTTTAAAAAACGTGAATAAATCGTGGACTTCCAGGGAACATCAAACAAAAACACGAAGATGAGATTTGGAAAATTCTTTTATCTCTGTTACAATAATAGTTGTAAGCCTTGGTCTAAAATCTGCATTTGTTTTTCGTTTAACAGAAATTATTAAAAACTAAGCCTAAAAACTTGGAGTAAGCAAACTTCTTTAAAATGGGACACTACGTTGTGTGATAGTGTAGCATTTTAACATGATTTGTTGCATTAGTTTAAGGTTTGGTGTGGTTTGGATTTCGCGCAAAGCTACACGATGGCTATCTGCGCTAGCCGTCCATAATTTAGCAGTGTAAGACTAGAGGGAAGGCAGCTAGTCATCACCTCCACCGCCAACTCTTGGGCTACCCTTTTTACCAACGAATACTGGGATTGATCGTCATAGTATAACGCCCCAAGGCTGAAAGGGTAAGCATGTTTGGTATGACGGGGATTCGAATCCGCGACCCTCAGATTGCGAGTCGAGAACCCTAACCACCTGGTCTGATCTATTCACTTAATAAATTATTGATCAATTGATTGGTCTTTTTCATAGTCATTAAATTTAGCTCCACGTAATATTTGATTTAGGTTTTGGTTTTGCATATTAAACTAACTGGTAAATGTTTTTATCGTAAACTGATGGATAAAGTTGCTATAGATTTAATGCTAATTCTTCATTTTACAGAAGAAAACAATTCTCACAAGTTTTTCAATAGTGTCTGAGCATTAACCACAATTTTATAGTAAAGAACTTGAAACATTTGTTTAACAAATTTTAAAGTTATTTAAATTTTTACTTACGAGACTTGCCAGCGTTTACGATGCTGGAGTAACGCAGGTATTTGTTAGTTCTCTAGGTGTTTTTCATTTGTATTGCATTACTTCATATGTGTGTTAATTTTTGGACAAAAATTAAAACCTGATATGGTTAACGCCTAACATTGTTTTTATTTAGGAGTTTTTATTTAATATTTCAAAAAAAACAACGATTATTAGCAAAAATTGACAAAAATAAAACTACCGATAAAACTTCAAAAAAAAAGTAACAAACATTTGATGCTATATGTAAATATATCTAAAGATATTATTGTTAAAGGGAACAACAGTTAAAAAATTGTGTTGGATAAGCATGTAACTTCACTGTAATGAATGAAAAATAGTTTCTCGGGTATATCAAACACGAATATTGGACTCGCTGCATCATTCTGTTTTCCTTTAGCACGTCGCAAATCAATAACTTTTCCAGGCTGGTGTGTGTGTGTGTGTGTGTGTGTGTGTGTGTGTATGTATGTGTGTATGTAT